CCCCCCCCCCACCATCCATCCATCCAGTTCCCCCCCCACCATCCATCCAGTTCCCCCCCCCACCATCCATCCATCTAGTTCCCCCCCCACCATCCATCCATCCATCCAGTAACCCCCCTACCATCCATCCATCCAGTTCCCCCCCCCCCATCCATCCATCCAGTTCCCCCCCCCCCCCCCCACCATCCATCCATCCAGTTCCCCCCCACCATCCATCCATCCAGTTCCCCCCCCCCCCCCCCCCCACCATCCAGTTTATTCCACCGTCACTAGGTGGGGTAAACTGGTAAACTGTGCGCACATCGTCACGCGTCCCCCCCCCCCCCCCCAAGCTCAGCAGAACAGATCCACGTGCTCGTTGATCCAATGGGGCCTGACAGCTAATGGAAAGCGTTTCGGATTCATAGTCCTGAGGTTCCGGGTTCGGTCCTCAGCGATGGCAGAAACAAATGGGCAGAGTTTCTTTCACCCTGATGCCCTCTTACCCAGCAGTAAATAGGGTACCTGGGAGTTAGACAGCTGCTTCCTGGCGATGTGTAACAAAAAGGAGTCCTGGTCGAGGACCAGGCCAGGGGACATCTAAGCCCTGAAATCATCTCAAGACAACATCTCAAGATAACCCATACATGTGTCAATAAACTCGAGCACTGAGACAGACCTCAAGTACAGTGTACCGAGTCAAATTTTTTGAAGAAATTGAGGCCAAGAACTGAAAAATGTGGAAACTGGTATTCAAAAACCGAGGTTCCGCTCTACTTAACCCTTCCACTGTGTATATCATATGTATCTGATTTTGGCCTAAATGAATGAACTGCGCATATCATACACATACATGATTTGGAGTATTAGAGTAGTGCATACAGTTCAAACGTCCCGCAGGTACATTGGACTCGCATTGGATTTCTCAGGGCATCAGTAAACAGTGCCACTGTGGAAAACAAAAAAATATGTGCACCATTCCTGGGGCATGAAGGCCTTGGTACTGAGTTGAACAGCCAATGCTGGCTCATGCAGCATGAGTTAACTGCTATTTAGCTTGCTCCACAGCATCACTTAAAAACCATGAAATATGTAAGTAATTATTATTTTGTGGTGATAGTATCGTAGAAGATCGTGACTGCAGTAAAGACGTGTACAAGGTTCGGGTATCAGTGAATACAGTACTAGTTATGATGGTCACAGTGCTAGGCAGGTGGCCACAGCACTGCCATTGTTTGTTCCATCTAAGTTTGCCCCATCTTGAAAAAAAATAAATATTTTTTCTTTACGAATTATTTTCAGGATTTTGTGACCAGGATTTTGATAATGATAATTTTATTACAATTGCATATACTGTACTACATATTCAGACTACAAGGTCATTGAAGTTCAAACTAGCATCAATACCTACAATAAATTCAAGAAGATTAACAGATGAGAAGGATTATTCAATCAATTCAGTTTTAACAATAAAAGGATTGACTGGGGAAAAAATAAAAATATAACTGGCAAACATCCAATGGGGAAACAGTCTTAAGTGGCAAAGCTCCCAGACAGGAATAAGCCCAACTGACTGCCGAAGCATACAAAGTCTGTTTGAAGCATGTGACCTTGCAGAGGGTCAAAAACAGGACCACTCTAGAAAGAGAATGAAGATGACTACAAAAAAGGGGAAAAAATCACAGAAATGCTTAAGCAGACACAACTTTCATAACAAAGGAAATGAAACCTAAACAAGGAGATAGAAGAAACAGAGCAGACATTGAAGAGATCATACTAGTTTCAGGAAATGAAGCTGGAACAGAAAGCTATACAAGAGATAAAGAAAAATCCAAAATATTTTTTACATACAAAATAATGAATGTCCTCTAGTATTGAACCTTTACCTACAACCGAAGATTTGTACACAGAGGATGACAAAGAAACACTTTCGTTCAGGAGAGACCAATATGACATACGAAATTAACTCTGCGAATGTTCGGGAGGGGCGTAGCTGGCGTCCAAATTTAATAAATTTGTTAAAATTACATTTTCTGGGGGGTATCTCCTTGGCTCCCCGGAGCTATCCAGACTGATATGGATATCATTAGACTTTGGCATCAATCTGAATATAATTCATCCAAGGCACGAGGGGCAATGGCCTATAGAAATGCACATGTGATTTGGAGCATTCTATGTCTGCCATCAACTGGGCCAGGCACTGTGAAAGGTAAGCGCTTCAAAACAAACCCCTATTCTGGTTAAAACTACTAAAACAGACAAACGAGTGGACAGAACTTCCAAAATGAAAATGAGCAAACGAGCATGACGTCACACAAGCAGAGCCGCATGTCTGCACAGCTACCCCCTCTCCAGGAGGCGGAAGCGGGAGCCCCAGACCCACCACGCCGGCGATCCACCCTCCAGTTCGAGGCTGGATGTCAAAACACGCAAAAAAAAAACGCCGCCAGGGAGAGGGGGGATTGCTTGGGAGCTTCTGGGTCTCGCTCAGAAAAAGGCGTTTCATCACATTCAACGCTGGTTTTCTGGGGGAGGAGCCCCTTCGGCTCCCTGAAACTATATCACCAAAGACAAAAACTAGAGAGACTAACCCGGGAGGCGGTCGGTGCTCGCACCTCAACTGGAAGTCAAGACATCAGGCTGCAATCGCCGACCCAAAGTGACACAGGCCCGACTAGGCCCGACTAGGCCCCAGAACATTAACAAGGTAGCGTGCAGCCAGGACCCTGTTCGACCGTCAAAAACCCCACAAATTACACACACTTTTGAATAATATTACAGCAAAAAAACAGAGAAGAAATGAATGAGAAACATCAAAATAATTGTGAAACATTATATTTGCGGCAACTGCCGCCCCACGAGGTGATGGGGCCTAGTGACTTTAAGCACTCCATCGCTCAGCGCCCATAATTTGCTCAATTTCTCAGCTCCATCACGGCTAAAGTATATGTGGTCAAAGACTGCATTTTAACAATATAAGAAGAGAAAATAATTTTTTGGAAAGAATTTATTTTTGGTGCACCACTGGGGTGTCATATTTTAATGCAGAGCAGTGCAGTGGTTAAAGAAGACTCAGAGGTATGCCACCAGACTTATTCCAGAACTAAGAGGTATAAGTTACGAGGAAAGGCTATGAGAGTTGAACCTTGCGTCCCTGGAGGACAGAAGAGTAAGAGGAGACGTGATCACCACCTACAAAATTCTCAGGAATTAACAGGGTGGATAAAGACAAATTATTTAGCATGGGTGGAACACGAACAAGGGGACACGGATGGAAACTGAGTATACAAATGGGGCACAGAGACATTAGAAAGAATTTCTTCAGTGTCAGTGTAGTTAACAAATAAAATGCATTAGGCAGTGATGTGGTGGAGGTTGACTCCATACACAATTTCAAATGTAGAGATGATAGAGCCCAATATCCCCTTCAGTTAGGGGTTGCTTTTGGATGGCCTTGACCTCTTGGGGTCGGGAAGCTTCATGCTCTCCAATGCCGGGGTTCAATTCGTTTGGTCCAGGTGGTCATTTTGTTCGTTTGCGGCCTTCTTATTTTCTGGGTGAAAATTGAGACGGTGGGCTTTCGGAAGGGTCAGTTGGTTGTGGATGCTTGGTTGGTTAGGCCAGGGGTACATCACGTGTTGTGTGCGGTGGCGATTTTACCCCGCTACATGCGGGCCACTGGTTCTGTGACGGTCGATACTCTTTGGGTGAATCCAGTTTTCCTAGTTCCTTGTTCCAGGGCTTGTGTGTGTCAGGTTGTCCACAGTGTCATCACATCCTGCCAGCCTGCTGTCTACCCTTGTGCACATGCTGTTTGGAAGTGTGCTGCTCTTGCAGCGGTTTTTGGCAACATGTCTCGGATAGACATTCGGCTGTGGGGGGCTTTGGAGGTTGAACGGGGTAGCTGGCTGCCAGGTAAAGTGAACGTTCCGGTTCCTTCCTGGCTGTGTGGGGTTTAGGGGTGCCTGTTGCGGCCATCTGTCTCGTCTTTATCTTGAGACCTGTTGTGTTGCCGCTTCCCGGGTAAGTCCCTCCTTTTACTTATCATAAAGTAAAAGGGTAGTTAGCTTGAGGGAGCCGAAAGGGCTTCCTGACACCCTCCCTCCTAGTTGGCGGTTTTTCATCGTTCAAGAACTGGAGTGATCGGCTGCTGGCTCCCCTTTCCTCCCTACAGGGGCGAGGTAGTGCTAACATGCAGAAGTGCTAGTCACATGAAGGGTTTCGTGTTTGGTTTCTTTCTAGGGGAGTTATTTTGATCTTTTTGGGATGTAGATTACACAGGTTAGCCAGACAGTCGTCTGGCAATTATGACTTTACACTGAGCACTTTAAATGTAAAGTGCTCATAGGCCATCGCTCCCTGCTCCTCTGAGGGGCCAGTTTCTGGCTCGTGGTTCCTGGTAGACATAAGAACTCCTGTCACTGATGACCCTAAACTAATATAGCACATATCAGTTCGGATAGCTTCAGGGAGCCTCCGGGGCTCGTCCAAAAAATGGCATTTCATTACATTCGACGCTGATTATTTGCTGTTACTACATTGAATACACTTGTTACTGTATATATTACTACCTACCTACCTTTTTTTTTTTTTCTTCCCCATAATGAACCAATAGGCTGGTCTTGTAGGCTTAGACACAGCAGAGCATCAACACGCTGGTCAGCAAACACTGCCACCTGACTTGTATGTATTACAGGGGGATGTGGAGGGGCTAAGGAATAGAGAATATGAGGGCGGGAGATAGAACAAGAGACAGACAGACCCAGGCATTTCTGGGTACCCCATGTAGTAGAGAAATCTATCTAATAAAACCTTACAGTTCTTTTACTGTTTAATTTGATGTTTGAAAATCTGTCCTTTGGGTTGTCATCAGCCCAAGTTGTGGCTTAAGTTGGGGGGTGTATACCGCTATTGCTAGCTGGCTCACAGCTGGAAATTGTTTGTTTGCTCTCAAGTGGAACTTCTGGGGCTTTAGTGTTATTAATATATGTTGTAATTTTAGTATTCTAATTTCATTACAGGGCTCTGAAACTTGGTTTAACGACTCAAGACCAAATTGACGATTATGACCCGGCATTGATGTTCACAATTCCTCGTCTGGCCATTGTTGCCGGTTTGGTTATGTTTCCCGACGGACCCTTAAACTTAGACCGGGAACCTAGGAGCCTGTCTGAACTATTTCGACCATTTAGAGTAAGTTAATATGGCCTTTATTGTTCTCTGTGTGGCATAGTCAGCCTCACATTCTTTGTAGTACAGTCAAATTAGCATTTGAGGTAGACATTCAAAATAACAAGCTGGGACTGGTTGGAATTTGTTAAGGATTATCCACAAAAAGTCCTAAAAAATTCAGTTTGTGGTTTTCCTACAATTTGAAAAAGAAGTCGGCCACATTGGATTTTTGTGAATGTTTATGAAAACGGCTACTACAGGCAAACTAATTGACCTGGAAAGGTTTTTTTTTTTTTTATGATTTAACCGTTCTGCTGCTAAGGGGTCCTGAGGAGATTTACACCCCTGTGCGCAAGAAAAAAAATCTAAAAAATTATTTTATCTTCTAAAAATGTTAATTTGTGTTCCCTGAGCACGGGAAAAATAAACAAAATCGTAGGTGACATATTTTGGCTGCAATAGGCCGAGGAAGTCTGGCAAAATGTGGGCGTTGACAGAGCGGTCGTCAGAGGCGGTCAACGTCACCTGCGCTGACAGGTGAGAGTTGCCACAAAGATATTATTACCAAATTATTTCAATGTCTAATTGATTTTTTCTTAGTTTTTTTTGGCAGTAATATTATTCAATAGTGTGATAAGATTTATGTAATAAAATGTGTGAATCATCACTATACTCAAAATTATGGTGTGCTTATTAGTGATTCAATTATTATGTTCATAAAACAATAAATAAATAGTTTTGCTGTTATTACACTCTACACACAGGTTATATATAAGTATCTGCATGTCTTGTTCACCATAACGAACCACTAAGTTGGTATTATAAGTCGAAAAGCAACGAGGAGTGACAACCACACACCAGCCAGCCACTCAACACCGCCTCACTCGCCCACTTTCTCCTCCTACCACTCTGTTTTCTGGGGGGAGCCCCGTCGGCTCCCCGGAGCTTTACCGGCTGATATGCTAATGTCAGACTTTGGCATCAGTCATGTGTATGGAGTTCTAGGGCCTACCGGGGACCACGGCCAGAACCTGGCCCCCTCAGAGAGGCAAGGGGAGCAATGGCCTATAGAAACCCCCATGTGGTTGGAAGCATTCTATGTCTGCCATCGACCGGGTCAAGCATCCAGAAAGGTAAGCATTCCAAAACAAACCCCTATTCCGGTGAAAATTGCTACCTAAAGCCAAACTAGTGTTTAGAACTCTTCAACAGAAAACAAGGAAACAAGTAAGACGTCATACGTCACCGCGCCGCTGTCTGCGCAGCTCCCCCCTCCCCGGGAGGGTGAAGGGGGAGCCCCAGACCTCCCACGCCGGCTATCCACCCATCAGTTCTTTGGTTGATGCTATAGGCAACGGTTATGTGCTCCGGCTCCAGTGGTTGTTTCAGCACTGTACCTAGAGTGTGGTGTCTGTTTTTTAGGTGGTGCGTGAGCTGGGAGTGATTCTCCAGTACTCGGGCTGCATGCGCCTAGGGTTCCCTTCCCTAGGTGCCCTGTAAGTACTGCCCTTGGGGCTTGGGGCCACCTTCCACAAGTTCCTTGGGTCCTGCCCCCTGCTTGGCCGTTTACTGCTTGGTTTTCGGCCGCTCTTTGTGTGCTCGGGTGTTCTGTCTCCCTTGTTCGCCTTAAAGTAAGGGGCAGTTTTTGCACTGGTGGGGCGCAGGATACTGTGCAGCTTGTCTTTACCAATCATAGCGGCCGGCTCTGTTCCACTTGGGTACGCTGTCCTCTTGCGGGGTTTTCTTTTTCTTTTTGTTTATCTACCTAGTGGGGGGGGTCTGCCTTCGTTCTTGCCCCTTGTGTCCCTTGTGTTCTGAGTATTTTCTGGTGGTACCCCCTGCTAGGTCCCCGTGAGTGTACACGTCCCGGGGGTTCAGCTCTTAGAAAGTTGTTTGGTAGCTTTGGGTGCCGGTTAGCAGTACCCTGCCTGGGATTACCTGAGCGCGAGTCCTCTTATAGTAAACGCTCGGGACCCTGGGAAACCCCTGGGGGCGCGCGGGTCCGATGGATGTGACCCCAGAGTCCCCCCCTCGCTTCCAGCGAGTTTGAGGGTTGCTCTCACCCTGTGTCTCTGGGTGACTCTCTGTTTTGCCTTCATCTACTGCCTGTGGGGTCGGTGACACCTTCGACCCGGAGTCCTGCGAGTTTGGTTGCTCGTTGTGGCTCGGTTACCCAGTTGTGCTAACAAAGCGGGTGCGGGCAGCAGGGGCGTTGCACTTGAGCCTTGGTGGTGGCAACGTTCTTGTGGTTTCCTCCCCGGGAGCCCCTGGGCTGCCCCGTTGTAGTTTGTGTTGGGACTTGGGGGTGTTGGTTGCTTCGGTTCCATCCACGCCCCCTTGTCTTTCCCCTGGATCACCCTTCCTGCCTGCATCTGGTTCCTTACCGTCTGTGGGTTCGGGGCGGGGTTTTTGATGGTGTTGAGACTCGGGCAGTCTCGGGGAATTCCCCTTCCGGGGTAGTGACGGGGGCATTTGAGCCTGTTCCTCCAGCCGTGTTGTATGAGCCTGCAAGTGGGCTCCCTTCCTTAGTGTTTTCACGGCTGCCCCGGTTTTCTGGTACGGCCGGGGCTTAGGGGGAACGGCTCGGCCCCGGGGCCTGTCGTGTAGGTTCCCGGGGCTGGGGAGGGGCTGACTTGGGGGGCCTTGGCCCCGTTGGACCCCGTGGGTTTTTTTATCCCACTCTAGGCAGGGCTTGTGGTTACGCGGAGTGGGGTCTTTCCTCCCCACTCGCCGTACGTGCTGTTGGGCGTCGGCCCCTCCCCGGGCTCGGTTCCTTGGCCTTTGAGTCGGTTGGTTCCGTCCTGTGGGTGGTTGTTTCCTCCCACCCTTTTTTGGGACGGTGTTTTCGTCATGTTTCCCCGTTCGATGGGGTTCTGCGTGACTTCTGATCTCGGGTGCGCCTGCGCCTTCGTGTGCCTTCGGGACTAGTGTTGGCTTCTGTGTTCTCGAGGGTATGGGAAGGTTTTTCGCTACTTCCCGCATTATTGGAACGTCTGTCGGCTCCTCGTCCTTGTCGCCCTGTTGGGCTACTTGTCGCCCGGTTGGGCTACTTGTCGCCCGGTTGGGCTACTTGTCGCCCGGTTGGGCTACTTGTCGCCCGGTTGGGCTACTTGTCGCCCAGTTGGGCTACTTGTCGCCCAGTTGGGCTACTTGTCGCCCGGTTGGGCTACTTGTCGCCCGGTTGGGCTACTTGTCGCCCGGTTGGGCTACTTGTCGCCCGGTTGGGCTACTTGTCGCCCGGTTGGGCTACTTGTCGCCCGGTTGGGCTACTTGTCGCCCGGTTGGGCTACTTGTCGCCCGGTTGGGCTACTTGTCGCCCGGTTGGATTCCTTTTTGGGCTCTTTGCTTCTTTGGCCGGTTTTATTGTTCCTGCTTCCTCTTTTTGGCTACTTTTCTCGTGCAGTAGTCCTGGCTGGCGCCTTCCCGCAGAGAGGGTGTGCGGTTCGGCCAGCGTGTTATGCGCATGCGCCGTGGAGTTTGTTTTGGTCCAAGCGGTGTTTCAGTGCTGGTGTTTTGCTCTCTTTTTGCTACAGTGCTTCGCCTCTCATTCTTCTCCCTGGCTGCGGTATGTGCCCCTTCGCGCCGGGGGTGTCCTGGTTCCCAGTTGTGGGGAGGACACCGTGGTTTTCCCTGTGTCATGGGTGTGGACCGCCTCCTTCGCCTCTCCCTGCTCTCCTGCGGGTCCTGCAGGGTCCGGCTCTGGCGTCTTCACCTGGCGGTGCTCCCTGGTTCTTCTGGGCACAGTTGACTCGTGTCAAGTTCGTGCCACCGTTCGCCAGGTGAGTTCTGCGGTCTGGCGTCTTTTGGCCGGGCACTGGATGCGGAGTTGTTTATATACCTGTCTTTATTTGGGTATTTTTGTACGACTGAGACCGTTCGCACACCAGTGACTGTCCCTTTTTCAACCCTTCCTGTCCCCCTCATGTGCATGTCCAACCCATGCTGGAGTCATTCAGGGGACCCTCCTTTTTAATGTTGTGAGGTGTGGTGGTTGTAGGGTTGGTTCTGTACTCACCTGGTAAGGCTCCTGGCTGTGCTTGCAGGATTTGAGCTCTGGCTCTTGGGTCCCGCCTATCTGGTAGAACTTGCGGGATAGTACCAGTGGAGTGCAGTGGTGCTATTGGCACATTTGAGGAACACTGTATTACCATCAGAGGTCTGTGCTTGTTACACGACCTACTTGCGAGCATAAGCCTTCTTGCTGGTTCGTCCGTGGACTTCCAGGGCGCACTAGCCTGTTTTCGTATGGCAGATCCGGCCCGTCTTGGTTGTGGGGGTATGTGGGCCGGTGGACTGCTCCTCTGGCCGGTCTGGCCTGACCTTGGGCCGGGCTTGAGGTGTAAAAGAGCTCCCAGTACCCCATCCAGCAGGTATCGAGCAGGGTTTCTCCGCCATCGGTCGCCTGGTGCAGGTTTCTGGGCCTGCGGGGTTTTGTCGTCCGTTGGTGTCGTTTTTGTCTCCGTTGGCCCTGTCTGGGGTCTGCCTGCTCCGTTCTCTGCCTTTGCAGAAGGGAGTTGCTATTTACATGTTGCATGTTGCAGTGGTGCCTGTTGCTGCTGCTGCACGTGTGCATTGGTACCGTGTTTCACGGTGGCGTGTCCTTGTTCCTGTGTCCGGTTGTGGAGTGGCACTTTGCTGCCGTTTTGTGCCTGGGGATTGCGTGGGTTTTTTTCTGTTCCTGCCTGATTGTCCACCCCTGGTTGTTATCCTGGGTTTTTTGTGCTTCTGCTCTTTCTTCCTGCCTCCTCTGCAGCAGGGATGTTCTGCGTGTGTTCTTAGGCGTTGGTCAGCCTGTGTCCTGTGATGTGCTTCTTTGTCTCGGTCTATTGCAGTTGTTCGTACCCCTTGGTTCGGGTACTGTTCTGGCGGCGACCCTTCCGCCTTCTTTGGTTTCTTAGCTTGCCCTGCCGTTTTTTTTTTTTTTTGGGGTCTTGCGATGTCTCGCGTCAGACCCGTCGTTTCTGAACTCCTGGCGGGCTTGCATGCTTTAGGGAGTTTTTCTGTTCGGCAGACGTTCCATCTCCTTGTGCCGCCTGGGTTTCGGTGGTTGCGCCCGAGATCTTCCTGCGGCTCCGCCTTTTTCCTGGGCCTGGAGGGGCCTTGTCGGGGCTGCTTATGTTCTGCCTCGCGGTCTCGCCTCCGGTTGGTGGTCGGGTGGCTTCGTGGTAGGTGTCCCACCTGCGTGCTTCTCTTGGCGGCAGTATGTGGGTATTTTGACGGTCCTTCCTTTTCCTGTCCCTTCTTAGGTGGTTACTCTTGTTAGCTTGGTTTACTCTCGGCTTGGTTTTCTGGTGGGGGTTGGGGGCCGTCGTCTTGCCACATACTGTCGCCTCTTTTCGTGCGGCGCGGGCGGAGCCGCTTCAGCTTGCTTTCGGTCTTGGTGTTGCTTCTGCACCGTTAGTCAGCTGTCTTGTGCGTCGTTTCACCTCCGGCCTGTCCGTGCGCCGCTTGCACCATCCTGGTCTCTGGTCAGCGTGCTCTGTCTTCTCCTCGGTTGGTAGTGCCCCTTCGGTTCCGGTGTGTTTTTTCGTCGGCTCTTTCCTTTGGGCCTTTGCCTCTGGGGGTCGAGTCGCTGAGTTTTCTTGCTCCTTCGGTTTTAGCGTTTTGGTTGTTTGGTGGCAGCAGTCTCCATCTTTTCTGGCGCGGGGTGGGGCTGCTGCATTCTGGAGGGGTCCAGGGTTTGTTGGTGCTTCGTTGGTCGGGCCGGGGGTGTGTCGTTTTTTGTTTTCAGTAGCGGCCCTCCACTGTTGTTTGCGTGCCACGGCGTTTGGGTCCGGAGCGCGTTTTGCGTTGATCCGGTTCTGTTCTTCCCGGTTCGCGGGTGATAGTGTCCCGGGTGGTCAGCCGTGTTCTTGCGGCTAAGCTGCCTGTGTTCTTCCCTCATGCCTGTGGCGTTCGTGGCTTCGCTGCTCTCGCTGCCGTCTGGGCATCGTGGTCTTGCGGTCTTTCAGGCATGGATTTTTGGTGTTCGTGCAGGGGCCTTGCTGCTCGTGGTTCTCGTGTTGTTCCCGGGAATTTTGGGGCTGTGGCGCCTTGGGTTGGCGTTTGCTGCCGGTTGTCTCGCCTCCTTGGGGGGTGCGTGGTGTCCACCTCCCGGTTCTGTCCCTTTGACCTTCCTCTGTGGGTAGTTAGCTCCGGGGAGCCGACGGGGCTCCCCCCAGAAAACCAGCGTTGAATGTAATGAAACGCCATTTTCTGGGCGAGACCCGGAGGCTCCCCGGCAACCCTCCCTCCCTCCGGTTGGCGTTTTTCACGTGTTTTGACATCCAGCCTCAGAACTGATGGGTGGATAGCCGGCGTGGGAGGTCTGGGGCTCCCCCCTTCACCCTCCCGGGGAGGGGGGAGCTGCACAGACAGCGGCGCGGTGACGTATGACGTCATACTAGTTTCCTTGTTTTCTGTTGAAGAGTTCTATCCACTAGTTTGGCTTTAGGTAGCAATTTTCACCAGAATAGGGGTTTGTTTTGGAATGCTTACCTTTCTGGATGCTTGACCCGGTCGATGGCAGACATAGAATGCTTCCAACCACACGGGGGTTTCTATAGGCCATTGCTCCTCTTGCATCTCTGAGGGGGCCAGGTTCTGGCTCGTGGTCCCCGGTAGGCCCTAGAACTCCATACACATGACTGATGCCAAAGTCTGACATTAGCATATCAGCCGGTAAAGCTCCGGGGAGCCTCCGGGTCTCACCCAGAAAATGGCGTTTCATTACATTCAACGCTGGTTTTTTGAGATATATACAAGAGTTGTTACATTCTTGTACAGCCACTAGTACGCGTAGCGTTTCGGGCAGGTACCTGGAATACGATCCCCTGCCGTGAAGAATCGTTTTTTCATCCAAGTACACATTTTACTGTTGCGTTAAACAGAGGCTACAGTTAAGGATTTGCGCCCAGTAAATCCTCCCCGGCCAGGATACGAACCCATGACATAGTGCTCGCGGAACGCCAGGCGAGTGTCTTACCACTACACCACGGAGACTGTAAATAGAGCAAAAGCTGGCAATAGCAAATACTGGCAATAGAGCAATAATAAATATGTGTACTCGCCAAGTGTCCACATATTTCTCTACGTATAATAATAATAATTAATAATTATGTTCTTGGAATAATGTGTAGGTGAGTGTGGTTGTGTTAATTGAGGGTTGAGGCCTAGATGCTGAGGGAGGGTTGGGGTTTTGTTTGGTTAGGTTAGGGTTAGTTAGCTTTGGTTTAGCCAGCTTTGGTTTAGTTAGCTATGGTTAGGTCAGATTTAGTTAGGTTGCGTTAGCTTTGGTTGAATTAGCTTTGGTTTGGTTAGCTTTGGTTTGGTTAGCTTTGGTTTGGTTAGCTTTGGTTTGGTTAGCTTTGGTTTGGTTAGCTTTGGTTTGGTTAGCTTTGGTTTGGTTAGCTTTGGTTTGGTTAGCTTTGGTTTGGTTAGCTTTGGTTTGGTTAGCTTCGGTTTGGTTTGATTAGCTTTTGTTTGGTTAGCTTTGATTTGGTTTGGTTTGGTTAGCTTCGGTTTGGTTTGATTAGCTTCAGTTTGGTTAGCTTTGATTTGGTTAGCTTTGGTTTAGTTAGCATTAGTTAGGTTTGATTAGGCTAGGTTTGGTTAGGTCAGGTTTGCTTTGGTTTGATCAGGTTAGGTTTGCTTTGGTTAGGTTTGCTCTGGTTTGGCTAGGCTCAGTTTGGTTAGGTTAGCATTGGTTAGGTTTAATTGGGTTTGGTTAGGTTAGATTAGGTTAACATACGCCAGTACGAACTTGTTTCATTGGCATTATAAATTTCCTGAGGTGAGGTGAGAATTGCAATCTCAAATTTGTACACATTCCTTTGCACCTCTATCCACCACACAGGAAACATTTCCAGATTCATCTTCTTTATAAGCTTAATACTCTGATAATAGATCATCACAATAGGTTTCTCTTGACGTCACTGCTTGTTGCAGCCCTGAACAACATATTTTCTGCATTTCCTGATGCACTGGTAGCAAGATGCAAAAGATATGCACAGATATAAAACAGTGATAGAAAGGGAGGGTTTTGTCTGTTGCGGGTAAACAAAAACAAAACAACGGTCGTGCCACCGGCAACTTGGTGGCCGGCCACAGAACTACAAAGGCTTCTCCTGTGTGGAAGTGCCGTTTGGGGACAGATCACAAATGAATAGATGGAATAAACGAATGATTGAGGTCCAATATCAAGGTTGGGGGTAATGTGACTTATATTGGCCCTCCTGAAAATCGGATCACATAAGGCTTGATAATGGTCCAGGATGGACTGAAATGTTGTTGTTTCTTCATCTTCTGGTGTGTGGTTTGGTCATCATTCCACTCTTTCACATTTACAACTTGATAAGGATCCAGGATGGACTGCAACATTGTCACTTTCATTTCATATGTGTGAGTTGGATTTCTCTACTGTAACAATTAAATTTTAATGTAGGAACTTATTTTTTCAGACGTTGCTGAGCAAAATACGTGAACTCCTGTGGACAATGAGCACTAGTGAGTTGGCAGCTTTGGAAAAAGCGTTGTGCTCAATAGATGAACCTGACCCTTCCTCACAGATCCCTAATGATGACAGCCTACCACCAAATGCATATGGGCAGGCATCCTTTACTTCTGATTTTGTTCAAAAATTTTATGCTAGCTATCCATCATGCAAGTATCTTACTCCAGAATTAAGTTCTTTATATCAACCTGGAAAGAAACCCGAGCGCTATGAACGGAAACGAGAAAGAACTTCTGGGAAAGGAAGAGGATCACGCTCCAGAGCAAGGCAAGAACGTCAGAGTGAAAAATTTCTGGCACGTCTGAATGCCACCGTGGAAGAGAGGCCACGAGCACGTCGCAGATCTCGCCGTAGCCACTCCCATCGCCACCACCAAAATCCCCCTCCCCCACCCCCTCCAGACAGTGATAGTGGTGAAGAGCATCGCCATTCTCACCACCATCAGTCAAGATCATCATCAACTCGCCCTGAACGTCAGCAGCAGCAGCAGCATCAGCATCACCATCACATCCCTCCTCCCCCTCCACCACCACATCAACACCACCAGCTGCAACTTCATGGACACCAGTCGGATCAACGCTATCAACACCAACGACACCATGCTCACCGCCCAAGACGATCCAAACACCAGCCTGTTGATAGGATCAAAAGCATTGCCTGTTCGTGTGGCACCGTTAATGAATTTGATCGTGGCTACCACGATGAATCTCATCAGGGTTCCAATCAATCTGACGCTCCTCATGGTAGTCAGACACACAGTGAAGCAGCACCACTTCAATCTGTCATTGCTCATCCACACTGTAGCACTGCCTCAACACATTGTGATAGTTCGTGTGATAATGTTCATGTAAATATTCAAGCTAATAGTAGATGGGAGGAGGCGAGTCCTTCATATGTTAATGATCGTGTTAGTAATGTAGAAACCGCAGACAGTGGCACTCTGCGTCGTTTGTCTGACATCCAGGAATGTGAGAACAGGGATTGTGAGGCTAGTGCAAGTGCAACAGCACAACTGTGCATTCATGATGATTCATTATGCACTAGTTCATGTGAAGTGTGTGGGACTACTCAGCCATGTTCATGTCATAATCAGAGCCTTCATGTGGAAAACACTTCCAGCACAACTGATACAGATAATGTAGCTTCATGTGGATATGCAAAAAATATGTCGGAGATACAAAGCGAAAGTTGTATTTCTGAGGACCTGCACGAACTAAATATAAGCAAAGAATCAGATACTGTATCATGCACTCAGGAAATTGACCAAGGAAACCCTGAAACAAATCCCCAGGTATCAGTTTCATCTGCTATGGATCCGGCTAGTCCAGAGAGTCAAAGTGGACATTGTTCAAGTGGATCAACGTCGCCTTATAATTCTGGTGCAGAAGATGACGAGGAAGTAGCCCTGGCTCTTCAGGCAGCAGAAGTTGCTGCTACTTGGAGGGCTCGTGCAAGGTAAAGCAATTTGTAATGTGTAAATTAAATAGATGTGCTAAACAACATATATTTAAAAAAAATTATTTGTAAATGAAATAAGTAAATGAATAAAAATAAGTAAATGAATAAATGTGTTACAGCTAATGCACAAACTATGTCATAAATAAAAATGAAGATGACCAGATGTATAAAGTTCTTGGATGAGTTAATATACATGTAAGAAAATATTGGTAATAGTTGTAGGTAAGAGTAAAGTGGCCTGTACTTGGCTTTACAAAACCCTATAGTGTCTGCACTACTCCATAAAATAAAATTACAGAAATGCCAGGAATTCTCTGGAAATATTCCGGATGGGGTTCTGGGGATTGTTATGCTCTCCAAGCCCAAACTGTGGCCAGGCTTGATTTGAGAGAGCTTGGTCCAATAGGCTCTTCAATAACGTATTAAAACATAAAAGGAGTTATATGTGAAACTGTTAGAATACATATTGAGAGAGTCGTTGTGGCTTCAGCTCCAGAGTCTTATTGTGCTGTGCCTGGGTTCAGTACTTCTCTTAGGTGGTGTGCAAGCTGGGAGGCTCGCACACCCACCTGGGAAGTGCCTAATCTTCATAGGTACTTGGGCTGCTTGTGCTTAACCCTTACACTGCTCAGGGGTCCTGGGGACATTTACACCCCTGTGTGCAAGAAAAAAAAAATTCAAATTTTTTTTTCGTCTTCTAAATATGTTAATTTGTGTCCCCTGAGCACGGGAAAAATAAAAAAAAAATTGTAGGCGACATATTTTGGGCGCAATTGACCGAGGAAGTCTTGCAAAAAGTGGGTGTTGACAGAGCGGTCGTCAGACCCGGTCAGCGTCACCCGCGCTGACAGATGGGAGTTGCCACAAAGATATTATTACCTAATTGTTTCAATGTCTCCGATTGATTTTTTCTTAGTTTTTTTGCAGTAATATTATTCAATAGTGTGTATTGTAATATATTTATATAAAAAATGTGGTGAATAATCGCTATACTCAAAAGTATGATGTGCATATTAGTGATTCAATTATTATGTTTATAAAACAATAAACAAATAGTTTTGCTGCTATTACACTCTATACACAGGTTATATATAAGTATCTGCATGTTTTAGTCACCATAACGAACCGCTAAGTTGGTATTGAGAGTCGAAAAGCAACGAGGAGTTACCGCCACACACCAGCCAGCCACTCGCTGCCACTCCCTCAACACACGCACTAAACTTTCTTCCCCAACAATACCATTTGTGGTGTTATTACACTATATACAGACGTTATATGTAAGTATGTATATATTTTGTTCACAACTGTACAGCTAAGCTAATATAGTTAGTTCAGGCACTAAGAGTCGTCGCTATACACAGATGGCGGCTGGCGGCTCCCTCACTCATTCAAGGTCACACGCACTAAACTTTCTCCCCTAACAATACTGTTTGCAGTGTTATTACCCTATATACACATAATATATATAAGTATCTACATGTTTTATGCACCGTAACTGTACACCTAAGCTTGTAGTGCGCTCAAAGAACATGGAAGAACATGGCCACCCTCTAAACAGCTAGACAAATCGTGCAGACGACTTCACCTCCGTCACCCATATGGCTCCTCCCAGCATAATCCTTTTGCTGTTATTACACACATTATATATAAGTATCTACATTTGTGTTCACCATAGAGAACCACTGACCTGGTATGGTGAATGCAAACCATAACAGGTAGCCACACAGTCGGTAAACGATGCTGTCTCCCTCCGTCCCTCAGCATCACTCCTCCCACAGCACTAATTATTACAACAATCCTGTTATTATCACAACCCTGGTTATTTATATCACAGTCATGGGTCATCTGTAATATTGTCATCGCTAAATAATAACAATTATATATTTATTTTGACATTTTTCGACGATGCTGTGGTCACAAGCTGAACAGCAATGCTGTTCACTCATACTGCGTGCACCAGCCTTGGTTGCTCCAACAGTACTGTGCCTCTCACACCTGAGAATATCGCCCACGATTTTTTTAAAAAATGGCGTCTGTTTACAAGAGCCCTGAGGAAGCTACTGTGAACCCCGTGTAGCTGCAGGCCATTTGAATCAGGCCTGGCACCCTATGGCGTATATGTACGCCATGCACACCGTGGGACATGTTACTCAGGGCGTATATATACACCATGAGCAGTTTAAGGGTTAAGGTCATCTTCCCTGAGTGCCCTGTAAGTACTGACCTTGGGGCTTGGGATTACCTTCCACAAGTCACCTTAGGTCTACCTCTGTTGGTCTTTTAGTTCTTGGCAATTGACTGCCCCGAGTGTTTTGGGTTTACTCCCTAGTTTGCCTTGGGGTAAGTGGTAGTTTTTGCACTGGCAGGGGTGCGGGGTACTGCATAGCTAGTTTTCACCTATGACAGCGGCCGGCTTTGTTCCCTCTGGGTACACTGTCCTCTTGCAAGGTTTTTCTTTTCTTTTTCTTTTTGCCTGGTGGGGGGGGGGGGGGTCTGCCTTAGTGTTCCTTTCCCCTTTATATTGGGAGTGTTTGTGTTTGGTTGTACCCCCCTGCATCGCCCTCGTGAGTGGACACGTCCCGGGGGTTCAGCATTAGCAGTGTTGATTGGTAGCTTGGGCGCTGGTTAGCAGTACTCTGCCTGGGATAACCCTTAACAGACTCAGTCTAGGGTCCCTGGGGAAACCCCCCGGGGGCTCTCGAGTCTGATGGATGTGACTCCTGAGTCTCCTCTCGCTTTTTTGCGAGTTTGAGGGTTGCTCTGTCCTCTTGTCTCAGGGCAATGCTCATTGTTTTTGCCTCCGTCATGCTGCCCGTTGGGTCGGTGACACATTCGACCCAGAGTCCTGCGAGCTTTGTTGCTTGTATGCGACTCAGTTCACCCAATCTGATGATGATATTATTCGGGTGCAGGCGGCTCGCGTGTTGCAAGATAGGTTTAAATTGTTGCAGCTTGCTAGGTTAGTTGCTTCCCCGGATGCCCCAAGGCTGCCCCGTTTTGTTTATAGGGATCCAGACTTCGGGGTGTTGGTCGCTAAGGCCTTGGTTCTGTCCGCACCCCCTCCCCTCGTTTTTTCCCTGCTGTGGTTCATTCTGTCCCCTCCTCCCTGCTTCCGGCTCCTAAGCATCTGAGGGCTTCGGGGTCGGGGCAGGGTTCTGAGACTTGGGCAGTTTCGGGGGTTGTCCCTTCCAGGGTGGCTAAGGAGGCATTCGAGTCAGTTCCTCCACCCTCCTAACGTGGAGGTTCTCGCGGTTGGGGGAGGGGCTGATTTTGGGGCTTTGGGCACTGTTGGACCTCGCCTGGGATTTCCGACCCTCCAAGCTGAGCTTGCTGTTACAAGGAGTGGGGTTTTCCTTTCCCCCCCTCAGCGTATGAGTTGGATTTGGTTTCGGCTCCTCCCCGGATTCGGTTTCGTGTCCCTGCGGGTCCTTCGGTTCGGTCCTTCTGGAGGTTTTCGGCTTCCCGCGACTCTCTGTTTGAGGTGCAGGCGCCTATTGCGGCTTTCCTCATGCGTGACCCGGAGTGTGCCTCTATAATGGATCCATCTTCCTTCAGGTTTGGGTCTTCGTCTCCATACTGGGTTCATTACGAGGTTCCGGAATCGTCTTGGCTTGCGGGCTGCCCACTGTTTTCGATGGATGCTTGGGACACCTTCTGTCATGCCTGCACACTTGAGTGTTGTGAGGTGTTGAATGTGGTCCAGGTTTACCTGGGGTGGCAATTTTACACACCTTAATGAGTGTCTTTTTGCTCCGGCTCTTCTGCAGGATATTGGTGCAGTTCAGCTTCATGTGCAGGTTTCTTCCCTGTCGCCTGCGCTTGTGGCTGAGGACTTGCGTACTCGGGGCTTATTGGCTTCGGTCCTGCATTTCTTTTCCCTCCTTGAGCTGTCTTCCGACTGGCTTATGGAGGATGTAGAGGTGCTTGGGGCCATTCCGGGGTCTAGTGCTTTGACCTTGGCTGCTCGTGCATCATCTGCACTTTTGAAGCTGTTTGCTCAGATCCTGCGGGATGCGCTGCTGCGGTTTTTCGCTGTGCACTTGCGTGTCGGCAGGTGGTGCTCGTTTCCTCCTTGGAATCTGCTTGGGCCCTGGCTCTTAGATTGTCTTCGCCCTTTTGCCCTCCGGGGGTTCCCGGGTGGGTTCCTCTCGGAGGGGTCATGCCAGGGGCTCCACGGTTCTGCTCGTCAACGTGGGCCACAGGTACCAGTTTCAGAGCCTGTGCCGCCTGCGCCTGGTTGCCTCGATGTTCGTTCTGTGCACAGGTTGGGTTCTCGTGTGAGGCGTCGGCCCTCTCGGTTCGCCCCATTGACGGGGCGATGGAGGGGAGGCTTGCTCTGCTTGCTCACACCTGGTCCCACGATTTGTGGGCTTTCCAGGTCGTTTCTCACGGCCTTAGGTGGCTCCTCCTCCTTCAGGGGGTTCGGGGCTGGTGGGGCAGGCCTCTTCTCCTGCGTTCTGTCACTTCGTCTTGGAGTTGGTATGCTTGGGTGTGGTCGAAACGATGACATCCCTCAGGTGGGTTTCCTGCCTGTTTCCAGTTTCAACGGGACTGTGCGGACCTGCTGTTCATTTTGGACTGGTCAAGTCTGAACCCCTGGGTTTTCTGCCCCTCCTTTCAGATGACACCACTGTCCCAGGTCCGGCTCCAATAACTCTGTTGGAGACGGGCACTTGGATGGTGTCCCTGGACCTCAAGGACATATATTGGCACGTCCCTATTTATCTGAGGTTTTGGGACTGGCTCGGTTTTGTGGGGTGTCAGAGTTACCACTTTTATTGCATTTTATTCAGCTTGAATCGGGCACCTCGTGTTTTCGCATGCGTTACCTGCATCGTGGTGGCCTGTCTGCGTCTCTTTGAGGTTCAGGTTTTGGCCTACCTTGACGACTGGCTGGTGTGGACTCCCAGTCAGTCCTCGTATCTGCTCACCAGGGATTTGGTTCTTTCCCAGCTCGTCGGGTTTGGGATCCTGGTGAACTGGAGGAAGTTCCATCT